GTTAAATAATATTTCATGATTTTGCCAATATATTTAGCAAGAGAAAATATGTTAGAGATAGATAGATAGAGAGAGACAGACAGACAGAGAGAGAGAGAGTGAGAGAGAGAGAGAGAGAGAGAGAGAGAGAGAGAGAGAGAGAAAGAGATGCAGAGGATAGAGATAAATAGATAGATAAGTAGATGGAAAAAAATACAAAATATGTTGAAATACAAATGGATGATATACATATGAATAAATTAAACGAATAACATGAAAAATTAATTATTATTTTACAATCTAAAGTTTATATTTTGTCATATCTTCATTCTCTCTCTCTCTCTCTCTTACACAACACACACACACACACACACACACACAGACAGACTCACAACAGAGACAGACAGACAGACATACATGCATTATTTTTTCCCCACGTTTGTTTCTCTTGCTTTTTTTTTTTCTTTCTTTCGGTTCATTTGATCATCTTCAATTCTTTTATTTTCTTTCATATTATTAAAATGCGTTTAATTATTTAAATAATATAATTTATATCATGATAGATTTGTTTCAATCCCGTATATCAATCTATCAACGTAATTATCATTTCTAAAATAATCTATCATTGACATAAACAATTTGTCAATAGAAAATATAGTATGTTCGATTAAATTTTTCTATGATCATTTCTTTCTTTTTTTTTTTTTTTTTTTTTTTTTTTTAAATATCTACAAGAAAAAGTAATTATTAAACGAAATACAAACGTTTCTACGTGTTTGCGTTAAAATCGAATTAACATTTGAAATTAATTACACAATTATTTCTAAACAATACGTATGTATACATCTAAGAATATCAAACGAATCTAACGGTCAAGGATAACATCATTAATTGCTCTTTTTCTTTTCTCATCATCTTATCCTTCCTTTTCTCGTCTTTTAATTTTTTTCCTTTCTTCCTTTGTTCCGTCAAAATTTTTACGCGCAAGATCGCACGGTGACGTTTATAAAAGGAAAACCTTTTAAAAGAACCTGATCTAAGTAATTACAATTAACAATATAATTCGTCATTTTTATTTTCTGTGTTTTTTTTTTATCTGTTCCTTTTTTCTCGTTGTTTTGTCGTTCTTTCTTCCGTTTTTTTTTTTTTTTTCTGTTTCTTTTTTCCCCGTAACAATCCTACGTACGTACTCATTATATTTGCATATTGTTGTTTAATTACATCTCCATTATACGTATGCACATATTCTAACATTTAAATGATACTTACTGAAGTAGTCTGTATCATATTACATTAATGAGTGAACGTAAGAAATTAATAACACATAAAATATAAAAAGGTCAATTATTTGTGCAAGTATATTCAAGATTCTCTATAATATTTATGTTAGGTTCTTGAACTTTTACAACGAATAGATCTTGAACATTTTTAATTATATCCTTGACTTTTGCATTCTCTCTCTTTTCTTTTTTTATTTTTTCTTCTTTGTACCTTTTTCTCTCTCTCTCTCTCTCTCTCTCTCTCTCTCTCTCTCTCTCTCTCTCTCTCTCTCTTTCGAAAAATAAGAAGCACAATTGAACAATTTTTCCTTATTGTTTTTTTTTGCTACATTATGTTTTTAATAAGAGGAAAAATGACGTAACGAATTGTTTCTTTTCTCCTTTTTTCTTTTTTTTTTTTTTTTTTTTTTTTTTCCTTTTTTTCTTTACCAACATTGAAATCACGTTCTAATAATTATAACACTAACTCATCGGACATAGAAAGAAAATCTTGATGTTCCATTTTGCATAATCATTATGGCAAGATTATAATTCCTCATTTTAATAATATTTCATATGTTACGAGGTAATATGGAATTATTTTATCGTTCTTTATAATTTACGTCAAAGGTAATGTTTTTTTTTCTTATGAAAATTCAACACGTATCATCTTTATTTTTCTAATTTACTATATCAAGATATTTCTTTTCCTTTTTTTTGTCGTCTTCTTCTTCTTCTTTCTTATATTTTTCTTCTTTTTCTTTTCTCTCTTCATTTATCATAAGCTTGTATCATAAACTCATTTCAAATTAAATGTTATACTTTGTATCATTGAAAACGCTGGACAATTAACAAAAATTTACCTAAATTAATATTCCAATTACGATAATGATAAAAATAATTATAATAACAATTATTATTATTGTTAACATTATTGATACAATAATATTACAATAGTGTTTATTGTTCGATATAATAATAATAATAATAAAAAAAAAAAAATAAATAAATAAATAAATAAATAAATAAATAAATAAATAAATAAATAATAATAATAATATTATCGTTCGAAAATATATATCAAAGATATATATTATCAATATAAATTTCCACACACATATATATATATATATATATATATGCGCATACGTGCACGGACACGTATAAATATAAAATATTCTAATAATTAATTTTAGAATGCATAATGATTTCCAGAAACTTTGATTCTCTCTCTCTCTCTTTCTCTCTCTCTCTCTCTCTCTCTCTCTCTCTCTCTCTCTCTCTCTCTCTCTCTCTCTCTCTCTCTCTCTCTCTCTTTATAAGAGAAATACGTGTTGTGTAGAATTTAAATGTTGAACATCGTATCTGTGAATCATATATATATATGTACATATAGACGACACGTGCAACGTGCAACATCGCATGTGATGATGCTATAACGTATGCATGTTCCATTAAAAAACAATTTAAAAAAAACAGTTTAAAAAGCAGACAAAATAAGATAAGTATGTATATGTAAAAGAAACAGAGAGAGAGAGAGAGAGAGAGAGAGAGAGAGAGAGAGAGAGAGAGAAGAGAAAAGAAAATTAATTAGGAATAATACAACATAGGTTATCCATTATCTTTGTATCTTATCCATTCATCACTATAGAATTTATCTGTTGAAATTTTTTGTCGATCAAAAAAAAAAAATCATTATTTGGCGACCAAAAAAAGAAGAAGAAGTTTAGATTAATAGAAGATTAAAAGTATCTCAAAAGATTTATTTACTTACGTGATGAAAAATATCAAAAAAAGAAAAGAAAAAGAAAAGGAAAAAAATAAAAACAAAATTAAAACCGAAGAGATAAAGCTTCAAGGTCGTTCACTCTTTGTTACTATCTTCAAAGTATAACGTTATTGAATGCTATGTGAAAATCGATTACAATCAGATCGTTCGCATTCATTCAGTTTTAATATTTAAACGTAGTAATGACGAACGGAAAATTTTCTTAAGGAAAGAAAAAAAAAGAAAAAGAAAAAAGAACAAAGAAAAAATAAAATAAAGATATTTTTACTTTTTCGTACGTTCCTCGTTTTTCTTTTCTTTTGTTTTATTTTTATTTATTTATTTATTTAATTCCTTCTTCCTTTTTTTTTCTTTTTTTTTTTTTTTTTTTTTTTTTTTTTCTTTTTTTTACACGTTTACTCCGTAACTTCTGTTCGACGACAAATACGCTTAAAACTCTCGTAAAGAGCGACGAAGAACTGTAACGAGAATTACGTTCGACTGATCACTGAGTACTACTGCCTTTCTCTCTTTCCAACAAGCCATAGCGTTTAATTACTAATACCAATATGCTTCCTCTATAATAACTATATTACTGCATACAAATTATATTTGTTACCACTCCAAGATCGCGAATAGAGTTCAAATGATTTTCTGATTGGTTGACGACAACGAGATCTAATATCGATACTTTGTTTCCTTCTTCTTTTTTATATTATTTTATTATGATAAACATACATACATACATACATACATACACAATACATACACAATACATACACACACACAAACAACACACACCGTATACATGTATATTTCTTATTTTCTATACTTCTTTTTTTACCTATTTCTTTTCTTTTTTTTTTCTTCTTTTTTTTTTTTTTTTTTGATATCAATAACAACGTAAGATATATTTTGATAGAATAAATTCGTTATCATTGAACTTAAATGAATTGACTACTTCGTCATTTATCTTTTTCATTTGGAATTGTTATTTAATTCAAGAATCGTGGATATTTTTATTAAATTCTTCGTTTCTTCGTTCTACACTATTTTATCACTTTTGTTCGTATTAATTGTTGAATTATTGACATGTATTTCTGAAATGATTGTACAGTTCACTGTGCGTTACGAAATACGCGAAAGAAAACAAACATGGCGTATGAAGAGATGACTGACCAACTTCTGAATATGATATATCAGCGCCATGGACGGCAAAGAGTCGAACGAAATTATTAACTTTTTGTTGACAGTATCGAGAAGGTAAAAAATGTCGATAAGTATTATCGATTGTCAAAACTTAGTCGGTAATATTTATCGTTGATTAAAATTGATTGTAGACCATGTTGGTAAAGTAGAAAATATTTGTAAAAACATTTTTGATTGTAGACTCGAATGATAAAGTAGAAAACATTTCGTTGATTCAAATTTATTAAAAATTCACATTTATATGACGTTTTCTTTGTTTTTTGATTTTTCATTCTAATTTATAAATCGTCATTTAATAACGATAGTCTATATATGTATAATAAAGAATAGAAATAATTTTATATGCCACACTATTAATAGGGATTGCATAGCATACAGTATGACTAAGCAAGATACATTAGTAATTATTAAAGGAATGATAGAATGCGATTTTTAATTAAGTTTTGCTTTTAAGAATAAATTAACTAGTCAACTGATAGTGTATTCAGTAAGAAGATAATTTCATTGAAAAAACAAGCTATTATTATTCTTTTATCTGATGAATAACAACTCGATTTATATATTTGATTAAGCTGCTGACTTTAGTAACGCTGAAGATTATTTCTTTTTTTTATATGTCACGTACATATATGTAATAGTTTAATGAATGTATGTCAATAATAAGAGAGCTTTCGTTTTTTTCCTCTTTTTTTTTTTAATTACGAGAGAACATGTTATGTTTTCAAATTAATTACAAATTATAGTAAATTAATCCTCGACTTTTCCTTCTTCTTCTTCTTCTTTTTTTTTGTTTTGTTTTTGTTTTTATATAAAACAAATTTAATAAAATGGATTTCATTGCGACGAAATTTGTAGTTTCGTGTTCTCGTTCGATATTTGGTCGATATATATTTATATATATATATATATGTATGTATGTATGTATGTATGTATTTATGTATATATGTATATACGTAAAATTATATGGTAATCACAATGGCAAAAATTGATTAGGAAGATTAACGTAATCTTCTGGCTTCTCGTTCAGATTCCAAAAGCGTTAAAATATCTCCTTCGCGAACGGGTCCTTTGACATTTCTGATTATTTGTCTGTTCTGTTCGTTCAAGAATTCCACTTTGACTTGGGTACATTGACCTTGGGAGCCCGTTCTGCCGAGCACTTTAACAACGCGTGCACGCACTATGGGTGTTTCCATGATCTTTTTAAAAAAAAAAAAAAAAAAAGCAGAAAGAAAGAAGAACTTGATCACTTTCGTCAAAGATATTTTTGATAAAACGAGATCTTTCTTAATCGTTAACAACGATGTTACGTAAGTACGTTCTCGTAAGTTATTCCAAAGTCTTTCAACTTCTGCCAACCATACTGAATAACAAAATCAAGTCGAGTAGAAAACTAAAGGGAAGTTACATTGAAATTTGATTAATAGTTAAATCAAAAAGAATTACTTTCATTCGATTTGATCGGACTTTTTTTTTCTAATTTTCGATTACGTTACATTATTTGAATCAAGATAAAAATTGTCACATAAATTGATATTTGATACGATAATATAAAATCATTAATTTGGCAGCATTGACGAGTGACTGGTTCGAACAAAAATAGCAACTCGGGGTGTATAGTAGTATCGTCGCGCAAAGTCATATGAGATACGATTCGAACTTGAGAATTTCAAATGTTCGCGCTATTGTAAGCACTGTACACGCCATCTGTTAGAAATTTTTGAAAAAAGAAAAAAGAAAAGAAGAGAAAAGAAAAAATTCAAATTTAAATACCATTTACGCGGTAACGCGCCCACCAAACAATCGCTTGTTAATTGTGAGAAACAATAGAATAATTAATTAATAAATCAATACTATTTTTATAATTTATATGTTATAGAAGAATGATGGACGTTCCTCGTCCATTGTTACAATTGATTTTATTCGCTTGTGCTTTAGTACAAATGTGACATTATTTTCTTGCCTATAACAAGAAACAATATGTCTCCCGTTTATATTTATTACTGTATATCCACATTTTATTTGAAATATACTCACGCATGTAATTAATTATTTGCTAAGAAATACCCTTTATACGCGTCATATAAGACGTCTACATTTATCTCCCTTTCTTTCTATCATTTTCACTCTTTCTTTCTCTCTCTCTCTCTCTCTCACTCTCGTTCTATCTCCTTTCATACTCATTATCTTCATCTTATTAAATCTCACGAATCTTAAATTGATGCAAGCACGCAAGCACACACACACACACACGCACGCAAGCACAGAGAGACACGCACGCATGCACGCATGCACACGGACATTCTTTTATATAAAATTACATCGTACGTGAAAAAGTTTAACGTATTTTGATAAGCAATATGTGGTCTGATTCGACGATTTTTAATAACATCGTCAATGTATTTGTTAGTAAGTATATATATATATGTGTGTATATGTGTGTGTGTGTGTATGCGCGTGCGTATATGTAAATATATATGTATATATGTATACGTGTACACGTGATGTATTATTTTGTATTATTCCTTTTTTTTTTTCCTTTTGAAAACTGTTTATCGCTAAAAATGAGAGAATTAAAACTATCTAAATTATTTATATTACGTACAGAAGGAAAGAGAGAAAGAGGGAAAGAGAGAGAGAGAGAGAGAGAGAGAGAGAGAGAGAGAATGATTTGATAAATTATTAATCGAGAATTAATTATGACATTTCTTTCTTTTTCATTTGAACACAATACGAGCAAAAATTGTCTTCTATTTTTTTCATTTATCTTCTTCTTATTCTTCTTCTTCGTCTTCTTCTCCTTACTCCTGTCGATTCGCGGTTACATAATTTTTACATAAAGCTTTAGGAGATTAGGATTAGGACGACGATGATGAGAAACAAAAAAAAAAAAGAAAAGAAAAAGAAAAAACAAGAAACAAAAAAAAACAAATAAAAAGAAAAATAAATAAATAAATAAATAAATAAATGATATTATACGAAATGTATTTCACATAAGGCAGTATTAATTAATAACATTTCAATTTTACGCGAATGTCTCATTCATTTAGCCGAAATATAAGATTGGTGTAAATCATTCTTATATCTACTGCTAATTATTATTAATAGTATTATTATTATTATTATTATTATTATTATTATTATTATTATTATTGTTATTGTTGTTGTTGTTATTATTATTATTATTATTATTATTATTATTATTATTATTATTATTATTATTATTATTATTATTATTATCGACGAGTTTATTGATTCGATAATTATTTTATTTATTCGTTAGGCATCACTTTAATGTGCATTATTCTTTTTCCTTTATATCCAATGTAATGTATATTACATATATATATATATATATATATATATATATATATATATATATATCTTTTTATCCAGCTTGAAAAGGAGCTTAAAAAGGAGCTTGAAAAGGAGCTTGTGAAAAAAAATAATAATCCTTGAATAAATCGATCCTTTCGTTATTATTTCGATTTACACCGATCTTATGTCGTTCTTTTTTTTTCTCATTTGGTTCTATGCACTGCATTTGCTCGGATAAAGCTCTGTAAAAGAGCAAGGCTAGGATTTTAATTGTTTTTTTTTTTCTTGTTTCTATTGTTTCCTATTTTCCTTTCTTTTTCTCTGTATTTTGTCCTCCTTTTCGTTACATTAATAATACATTTATTACGTGTACAAAAAGAGCTATGCGATAATGATCCCAAGTTCTACATATACAATCGTCATTCCTTGCTGATGTCATCAATATTTTTTAAAATCACAGGTATTCGAGAAAATAATCGTCATATATATTTTTCCTTTCTCTCTCTCTCTCTCTCTCTCTCTCTCTCTCTCTCTCTCTCTCTCTCTCTCTCTCTCTCTCTCTCTCTCTCTTCTCTCTTCTTTATTTTTTATTTTTTTTCTATTCGAAAAACAAACATCCTAATGCATATCACGGCGAAAAGTACTGAAAAATTAATATCGTAAATATTTTTAGATGCTTAATCCATTTCTTTTCTATTTATTTCTGATCTTATCGATTAATAACAAAAAAGAAAAAAGATATTATTTCGGAGGAATATTTTCCTTTGAAAGCAAAAAATAATACCTTCAGATCAAGATGTATTTTATAAATGAAACAAAAAAAAAAAAAAAAAAAAAAATGACCAACTTTCTAAATACTTTATAAGAAAACTTGCATTTCAATAACAAAAAAAGAAATTTATACATAATAACATCTAATAGATATGTTATGACAATTGATTTTATTCTACGGAGAATAAGATATGTCGACTACGAAAACAAAATATATATATATATATATATATATATATATATATATATATATGTATACATATATATAGAGGAATTCTCTACATAGAAAAAAAATCAAGTATAATATAATAATATAAAATTTGCTAAAGGTAAATAAAATTATTGATCACGATTAAAAAAATAATGAAAATAGTCTATAAATAAACTAATATACATACTTTATTATATATATATATATATATATATATATATATATATATATGTGCGTTATATAAAAATAGAATTACACTAAACTAAGCCATCGACAAGCAGGAATACAGAAGTACTATTTAAATTTACTCCAAACAATTTGATAATATGAGACAATGATTATTAATAAATCAATTATATATATATATTTGATAAACTATAAATTAACGAGTCAGAATAAAATAAAAAACGGAAAGAAAAATAATATATATATATATATATATATATATATATATATATATATCTTTAGGAATAAGTAATACATTGTTGTGTATCAATATAAATACTGTTTTTGTATCACTGAAGCAGTCGAACGATGAAAAAATTAAGAATTCAACTTCCATTTAAAAAGAAAGAAAAAAGAAGAAAAAAAAATGAAAAAATAAAAAAATAAAAAAGAATAGAAAAAATAAAAGATTAAAATACAATAATATAATTAATTGCTAATAATTAATGATTAATAAACCGTATGCTTTTCTTATGTTTATTGTGTTTATCGGAATATAGCGAGAAAGATCGATGAATCCGAATCTCAATAAAAAGCTTTCTCTTTCTTTCTTTTTCTGTCTCTCTCTCTTTCTCTCTCTCTCCTCTCTCTCTCTCTCTCTCTCTCTCTCTCTCTCTCTCTCTCTCTCTCTCTCTCTCCTTCCTTTTCTCACTTTCTCCTTATCTCCTAAGAGAAATCATTAATTGCTCGCTCGTTTATTGACTGGTTTTAATTATTTCTTATTTTGTTATATGTATAAAAAAGAGATAGACGAAGAAAAAGACGAAGAGGGAAACAGGAGTAACTCGTCGTTCGTCTTTGTCTTCTTTTTCTTATTTTTCATCGCCCAAATATAGGCCGCGTAAAAGAATCGTCAAGGCGAATATCATTAGATTAAGAGAGAAATGAAAATGCAAAAAAAACAAAAAAAAAAACAAAAAGAAAAAAAGAAAAGAAAAAGAAAAAGAAGAAATGAAAGAGGGAAGAGAAAAAGAAAAAGAAAAAAAAAAAAGAAAAAAGAAAAAAGAAAAAAAAATAGGAGAGAAATATAAAAGAAGATGCATAATATAACCGAGGATGCATTTATCTCATTTGAATATATGCTCGCAAAGAAAATATACGCGCGTTTTCATCAGCACATACGTCATGATCATGATCATGATCATCATCATCATCATCATCATCATCATCATCATCGTCGTCGTCATCGTCATCGTCATCGTCATCATCATAATCATTATTATCGTATTTGTCAACGTCTTCGTCATCGTCGTACGTGCAATGATCATTGGATATCTTCTTCCTTGATGATTCTTCGAATTAATTATTTTTAATCGTAGCAACTTGTTTACGCTAGCACTCGCGCACTTATTAAGAAGCAAACGCTCAGGCAGCTAGTGATTGGTCAAGTGTGAGCTTCTCCTATTTTTCTCTCGTTTCTTTATAGTTTTTCTTTCTTTTTTTTTTCCTCCTCCTCCTTTCTTTTCTTTTCTTTTCTTTTTTTTTTTTTTTGCTTTTTCTTGGTTTCTTTTTTTTTTCGATCTTCTTACAATAAACAGCACGTTCCAATTTATATTCGACTTTCCTTGCGTATTACAAATATTTAAGTAAACTCGCGTGTCTGTATGTATGTGTGTGTGTGTGTGTGTAGTGTGTGTAAAGATGTATGTACTTACGTGTACATTTATGTATGCATTATATATGTATGTACATATAATGCATTTTTTTTTGTATTATTTTCTTAATGAAATTACACGATATGAATCGAGAGAATACATCCTTACGGACGTTTTTATACATATGGTATGTATATGAAATTGTGCCGAATATAAATGCGTCGTCGGAGTCTCCTTACGTGTAGATCTTTTAACTCTTTACGTTTCTTTATTTTTTTTTTTCTTTCTTTCTTTCTTTATAATTTATCATTCCAACTTTTCCTTCTTCTTCTTCTTCTTCATCATCATCATCATCATCATCATCATCATCATCATTATTTACCTTTTCTTCATCTTTTTCTTCTTTTTCTTCATCTTTATACATTTTTCAATTAGGTATATACGTACTTAATTAATCCATTCGTAATTATTCGCTACACCTTTAGAGACACACGACGTCGTCGCGTAAATATGAGAATAATAAAAGACTCGTTTTCTTTTCTAAGTTTTGATCCGTTAAATATATATATATGTATATATATATATATATATATATATATATATATATATGCAACTACATATAATCTACTTAATTAACGAAACGATCTAAACATTCCTTCGTCTCGTTTATTTAATTACGATAGACGCGCGATCGTTGGAGGGAAACGAGTCTTAAATGGGCCTAAGGCTCCTGGCGAGTTAGTAGTAATTGGCTATGAACATTGTCTTTCTCTCACTTTCTTGACTCTTCGATCGAACGCTGGCCGATTTTTTCTTTTTTCTTTTTTTTTTTTTTTCTTTTTTTTTTTTTGGAATATATTGCAAGTCCGCATGTTTTTTTGGATATAATTATATTACGGGATTCATTAAAATAGCCTAACTAATGCGCACTTTCTACAATCATTCTTTATAGAAATATCTAAGTAAATTCTACGCGCAATTTATGATTCGTCTTCTTGTTCTCTTCGGTTATATTTTATTGGTAGTAATAATCGGCTTTTTCTCTTTCTTTCTCTCTTTCTCTCTCTCTCTCTCTCTCTCTTTTTTTTTCTTTCTCCTCCTTTCTCCCCCTCTCTCTTTTTCTTTCTCTTTCTCTCCTTCTCTGATAGTTCCATAATAATTCGATGAAATCTTAATTAGGCTTCGTACTTTAATTGTCTTGCCTATGAACTCTACAGCTGCTAAATTTCGCTAATAGTCGAAACTATGATTTCCTTCTATTCTTCTTCTCTGTCTGTCTATCTATCTGTCTGTCCGTCTGTCTGTCTGTCTGTCCGTCTATCTATCTGTCTGTATTTTTATGTCAGTGTATTCAATAAGTGTGTATAATAAGAGTCTGTTACATGTACAATTTTACCGATTTCTAGAAAGTCAAATTATAAAAGTCGGATTAATATCAAAAGCACAAGGAAACAACACAGTATGTGTGTACATGTATGTCATATTAATAGAGCGCGAACGGTGGTTTCCTTTTTTTGTTTTCTCTCTCTCTCTCTCTCTCTCTCTCTCTCTCTCTCTCTCTCTCTTTTTTTTTTATCGCTTACTTCCATAATTCATTTTCCAACGTCAGAAACATTGTGGGAGATCTCTTTCTCTTATTATAAAAATGCTAATGACAATATCATTGGATAGCTTATGTCAAAAAAGTGTCTGGCATTGGAAAATCCGTTCCAGTCTCGATCGAAGCTCTTCTCCGTGGAAGTAAAAACGACGTCGAAGGAGCTTACTTCTTTTTCTCTTCTCTCTTGTTTTTTGTTTTTTTTTGTATTTGTTTTGTTTTCTTTTTTTTTACTTTTTCTTTTTCTTTTCTCTTTCTGAAAAAAGTCAGGCAAAGTTTTCTTGGGCCACGAAGAATCATCCCTTTGAATATGTTCGTGCTTTCGTTTCTCTCTCTCTCTCTCTCTCTCTCTCTCTCACTCTTTCTCTTTCTCTCTTTCTCTTTTTATTTTCTTTGTTCTTTCATGTTATTGTCTGCCATCGGAGCATCGACGTCGTCTAATCGATTTCAACGAAGAGATCGAAGTTTCAGCCTTAAGACGAAATAGGCGACGACTCTTAGACCGAGTAAAAAGCCAACAAGGGCTACAACGTCTACCCAATAAACGGTGTTCTCCATCGACATCTCCTCTAGAAATTTTGTCGGGCTCTTGAAATGGCAGTATGCATCGGAACACTTTAGCTTAGCACGATTGTAACCATAAACTGATATCATGGCACCTTCGAAGCCATATCTGACGTAACTCACATAAGAAAGGAACCTTAGATATGATGGTATCGCGTTAAAGTTAACGAAGAAACCGGAGAATAGGACGATCGGAACCGATGATACCGGACCGATAAAAACCCCACTCTGTAAAATAATTAAAAACTCTTTCGTATCTTTGTATATTTGTTTTCGATGTAAGAATAAAAAAAAAAAAAAAAAAAAAAAAAAAAAAGAAAGAAAAAAAAATTTTTTTTAAATTAAAAGAAATTAATCTTACCTCGACGCTCATTGCAGCACCTATTAACAAACCGATGGATTGTGATACCAATGATGTTAATACGCATATATTTAGATACATGAGAAACCTTTCAGTCTCCAATGGTTGCGAAGTCATAAAGTAGACTATCATAACATAAGCTATGGAATAGATTATCTGTAAAATAAAAATAAAAATTAAACAAAGAAAAAAGAAAGAAAACAAAAAACAAAAAAAAAAATAAAGACGTAATAATACGATACAAGTTACATCGACGATCAATATTAATTAATTACTTAATTGTATTATATCTTTGTTATAATACCTGAAAGGGCAAGTCGGCTAGAGTTCTAGCAAAGTAGAAAGCTTTTAATGAGTACCAATAATTTAAATGTTCTCTCACGAACACTGCCATCTCTGTGGGAACTAAAACGATCATAGAAAATATTTTAAGAGATAATAAATACCTAAATGACTTTTATTAATATCCAAATTATTATCTAACCGATAATATATAATATTTAACTTACATGTGAGTATGGTAGGCATCATAGCAGTGAACATAAGAAACATCACCGTGAAAAAGACGCATCCTGCATTACTCATAACTTTCGAGGCCTCGTTACCGATGTCATAATAAATAGCACCGATGAGAAAACCAACGATTATGTGAGAAATCAGCCTTGTTCTCGTTAATGTCTGAAGATTCAAGAGAGAAAAAGAATGAGAGTGAGAGTGATAGTGAGAGAAAGAGAGAAAGAAAGAAAAAGAGAGAGAGAGAGAGAGAGAGAGAGAGAGAGAGAGAGAGAGAGAGAGAGAGAGAGAGAGAGACATTAGTTCTTTTTATTGAAGAAAAAAAAAAAATAAAAGAAAAGAAAGACAGAAGATTGAGACGAATCTAACCATGTCTCTTAACTGCGAAAGGAAGGTTCTCTTAAGGAGAATCCAAAACTGCACCCATCCATTGGTCGGGAAGCCAACTTTTTGCTCTATACTTTCGGCACTGTCGAGCAAAGAAGTCGTGCAAGAAATTGGCATATTGATGACCGTACCATCGGCAGCTGGTTTTGCAACACCATTTGGTATCAAGCTACCAGCTTCTGGTTTGGTTTGTTCTTGAGTAGGTGATTGCTTAGCAATATCATTCGAAACCGTTTGACTTGCCGCTATCGCAGCTTGATGATGTTGATAATTGTTGCATTTTCCATTATTCACAGCCATTACCAATTTGTGAACGCACTCACCGTGTTCCCCGCATGCAACTTCCATAACTGTAAAGAAAGAAAAGAAATAAAATAATGAAGAAAAAAAAAACAATCGCTTTCTTCTTACTTGTTGTTTTGCTTTCGTTATCGTTAAACTCGGGATTAGAAACAGGTGTTACATTATCTAATTGTCTGATCTATTTTGTTATCTAACGTGTCTCGTATAAGTGGAATATAAATTGAAAGGAAATATTTTTTACCGTAATCTGCAGGATTGTGATAACTCGGACAATCGAGACCCATCGATGATAAAAATGGTACGAGACCGCCTACATTGCCTTGATATATACATTGCCCTTCGGCTAGTAAATACAAATGATCGAACATCTCGAATAGCCTTGCACTAGGCTGATGTATCGTGCATATGATAGTTCTTCCTAAAATAAAAAACATAGATTTATTTTGGATTTTCTTTCTTTTTTTTTTTTTTTTGAACGTCCGTCTATACATTTCTTAAATGAATGAACATTTCATATCTGATTAAATTTAATATAAATTCAGATATGATAAATTTTCTTTTTTGAATTATTTTTCTCTCATTTTTTTTTTTTTTTTTTTTTTTACGAACCTCCTCGACTCAAGGATTTGAGTAGATTCAAACATTGGAAACAGGAGGAGCTGTCTAAGCCAGAAGTGGGCTCATCAAAGAACATAACCGGAGGGTTATTGACGAGCTCCAAAGCAATTGACAGTCTCTTTCTTTGTCCGCCACTAAGGTTATGAGTTTGAGTATTGCTGGCGTCGCTTAATCCAAGAGTCTCGATAATTTCTTCGATCTGTAAGAAGTAATTTTTTTTTTCTTTCTTTTTTTTTTTATTTATAAAAGAAACTCATCAACAGAATCGATTAAGCAAAGTGAATATTATCCAGTGCGATGGTGTATAATGTATTAAAAGATCAATGATCATCGTTAATATTGTAATGAATTTTATCGATTTCCGCATAAGCGTGTCTATGCTTATTTTAATTTTATGACTGTAAAAAAAAAAAAAAAAAAAAAAAAAAAAAAAAAAAAAAAAAAAAAAAAAAAAAAAATAAATAAATAAATAAATAAATAAAAAATAAAAAAAATTCTCAACGATCTTACCACAACTTTTTTTGCTGTTGCACTAATGTCTTTGCCTAATTTTAAATTCGCAGACACTGTCATGGCCTCGTGAACAGTCAAATGTGGAAGCAATCGATCATCTTGCATAATATAACAGGACATCTTTCGAAATCTTCGAAGATTTCTATCCTTTCCATTTATTAATACCGAGCCGCTCAGATGAGATGTTCTAAAAATATATAATAAAAAGGAATCAATAATGAATGAATGAAAATTATATATATATATATATATAAAATATATATATATATATAATTTTTTAATATATATATATAAAAGTTGAGATTAAAAAAGATATTTGTTTCGTTTAAAAACTAAATTATTTATTTATTTTTCATTGAACGATCTTCGTCTAATATAATTATATTATGTGCATATGTGTATTCGTGTGTGTGTATGTGTGCGTGTCAGCTAAGGTACTCGAGAGTAAAGATAAGGCTTATCTGTCAACACTAGAAAGTGGTATTTTTGCCAGACGATGAAGCATGTATATAAAGGGTTATCCTTCGATAAATATGTTTCTCATAATAGTTCGGCCAACCATGTAAGCCGTTTATTACATTACGTTGCGTCCAGACAGAAGGTCATCGTTCTTTACGAGGATCGAAGAAAATCTTGCTAATTTTTTTTTCTTTTTTCTTCTTTTTTTTTTTTTTTTCTTTTAACAAAGATAAAACTATATTGCTTACTTGTAACCAGCCAAAACGTTCATCAGAGTACTCTTTCCGGCACCCGAAGGACCCATTATGGCCGTCAATTCGCCGGATCTGAATTTTCCGTTTACACATTTTAAGATCGTCTTGTAACCTGTAAAAAAAAAAAAAAAAAAGAAAAAAGATATATCACCAAGTTTTTAATAAACGATTTTAATGTTTCTTTTTTTTGTTTTTTTATAATAATCGATTTTTCAATAAACGAATCCTTTTAATAAACGATTTTTGAGTTATTCTTTTTTTTCTTTTTTGTTTTTATTGCTGTTCAACAAAATCAACGATCTAAAAATAATTATCGGATTATTCCAATGTTTTCGATCTTAATTCAAATCGTAAGAATTACTTGAACTTTCTTACTTCCTCTCGTCTTTTTTCTTTTCTTTTCTTTTCTTTTTTTTTTTTTCTTTCCTTAATTAATTCAGTTCTTACTTTCAATACTTGGAATTTTTTCTTCCCTCAAAAAAAAAAAAAAGAAAAAGGAAAAGAAAGAAAAAAAAGAAAAAAAAAAAAGAAAAAAAAGTAAAAGGATCCTCATGAGGAAATAATTTGCAAATCAAAAGGGTACAACACTTTGTGATTTACGATAAAGAGATTAGATTTATGGTGATCGAACAAACTCAATTGTCCTTCAACTTTCAAAATTGGTCAATCGAAAATAATGAAGTTCGGAAGCGGGAGAACAAGGAAAATTTTTATTGACGTATATTTCAGAATGACATAATATCGTGTATGAGTATACGTAAAAAATGTGTGTACGTAAAAAATATGTGTATGTAAAAAAACAAAAATATTTTTTTGTATATAACATAGTCAAACTTCTGGATGACCTCTTTTATAACGAGTACGGTTGCACTCGGTAGTGTATCTGCGCCGAAACCGGAACCAGCCGGTACGTTACTATCGATTCTTTCGGGCTAGGTCGTTCACACATGTTGGCCCAACGTAAAACCCTATTCGAGTTATTCGCATCGTCAAATGTTCTATCTATTTATTTAATTCGATTTTAAATCTATAGAATCGTCAATTAGTACAAACAAGACCAATAATTTCGAATCAGAGTGATTAATAATGATTTTTATTTTTATTAAAATCTTTTCTTTTCTCGTTTCATTTTTATTCGTTTTATGTATTATGAATGACAATATTAATATACGGTTTAAAGATATAATATGAATTTTTGAAAACTTAAAATTTCTTCGACGATCGATATAACAATAATTAACAATTGTTATTCAATTAACCTAACTCATTTTGCCAAATTTTATTTTAACTTTGATCATGATCATTGATCTCAAATTTCACGTATTTGTATCATACATAATCGATGTAACAAGAATTTTTAAAAAGGATAATTTTGCGAATTTACGATTATCACAATAATAATAATAATAATTATCGATTATATGAACGATAAAAAATATATATTATTATTAACAGCAATATCGTTCATTTATTCTATCAAGACACATTGACTCAATTCAAAGTTATTGTAATTAATGGCCACAATTACTTTGATGAATTTAATAGAGCAATCATGGGGAAGAGAGCTATATAATACTTTATACACATAATTCCGACACGTCTACTTTACAACGAAACAGATATAGAAAAAAAAAAAGAAAAAAAAAAGAAAAAAAAGCAAAAAAAGAAAAAAGAAAAAAAGAAGGAAAAGAAGACAAAAACTAAGAGAGAAAAAAAAGTAAGAAAAAGAAAGGGAGAATGAGTGTGAGATAAATGTCACTATAAAACGCCTACTTTGTAATCACGAATAAACCCCCTCTCCTCTTTTGAAATGATCCTTTTATGATAAAGCACGTTAGATGAATCATCATGTCGTTGAAAAAAAAAAAAAAAAAAAAAGAAGAAAAAAGATAAAAAATACTACAAATTAATTAGATTCGATCTTGATTCTTGAACTAATTAATTACTCTTAAGCGTTAAGACGATTGAAAAAAAAAAAAAAAAAAAAGAAAAAGAAAAAGAAAAAACGAAAGAAATGAAAAAAGAAGAGTGTCATAAAGTCACCTCGTTTTCTGCCCTCGGAAACGCTGTAGGCGAGATTTTTAAACTCGATGTCGACCGGTGGCCTTTTTGGTAGATGCGTCAGTGAAACAGCCGGCCTTTTGTTTCCTTGCCCAGGACTGGCGCCGCTATGATTTGGAACTTTCCTTGCAAGCACTCCTCCCGTACAAGCTGTGCCTGCGGACCCGTTTGACGTGACACCGTTGCAACTGCACTGAAGATTGTTCTGTGAGCCTCTAAAAAGTGAATGAAGAAAGAGAAAAAAAAAAAAAAAAAAAAGAAAAAAAAAGAAAAATAAAGAAAAGAGTCAAATAAATCACATCAGCTAATGCATTTAAGAAAACAATCATAAATATATCATTATCAATCATCATCATCATCATCATCATCATTATCATCATCGTCCAATAGATCATCTAATATACACGCACAATACTCTCGTTCAATTTTCGAACATTAATATTTTTATTATAATTAAATTTATTATTTATCTTATTATTATATTTAATTCAAATTATTTATTATTATACTTAAGTCAATATCATTTTATTAGGTTGGAAACTATGAAACGGACGTTAAATGAAAATAAATAAACAAAACGCCCGTCTCATAGTTTCCAACCTAATATTATTACAATTTAATATTATTTTATCATTATAATTTTCATTTTCGCTTATCCCTAATCATTGAGAATTGAAATAATTTTATAATCTACTATTAGTATTATCGTTAATATATTCCATTCGAATGGACGATAGTATTAGATATTCTAACAAGATCGATAAACGTCACAGCGACGGATTTTGTGACGGGACAAACGATGGAGGAACTTATTTCGATCTTCTATAAAACAATGGCCACTAGACGGATAATATAAATTTATGTTATAGAATGAATTTAATTTAATATCTATTCGATGATATATAACTTTTATTTCCATATTTTCGACTATATGAAAGAATTTGGCCAATGCATATTTCTCATTTCATTCATTTGCATCAACAATTGAAGCGAGAAAATATATATTGTATATAATTTATTTACAATATTTATTCTAACGTTCTTGGGGAGTGGGGTAGGGGGTGGGAGAACGGAGGTGGTTTATAAATGACGTTTAAATGTTTTCAAAAATTGTATAAATTTAATTAACACCACGGGTCCATTGAAGACTAAATCCGTCAGTGAAAACCGATCGATTGCTTAATTTAAATACGTCAGAAGATTTATTAGAATTTATATCTGCTTATAAATCTCTTTGATTTATGATAAAGTTACGAATAAGAGTTATGATAAATTTTGGAGTATGATTATCTTTTTTTTTTTTTTCTTTTTTTTTTTCCTTTTTTTAACGAATTGAAGTAAATAAAAACCGTATTAAAAAAAAAAAAAAAAAAAAAAAAGAAAAAAGGAAAGAAAAAAAACTTCAAAGAGAAAACATATAAAATTACTATGACAAGTAGAAGAAAGAAAAATATTATTACGGATGATGTTCGTGCTTCCGTTTGCACGATCTTTTAAATTTTTTAAGTACACAGACAATGTGAACAATCTTATGCAATAGCATGAATAATCTCTGGGGGAAATGAGTGACATGCAATGAGAAGTAACATTTTTTTTTTTTTTTAACTTTATATGCTTATCTTCTTTTTCGTAACCAAGTGAAACTACGATTAAAATTTTAATATCTTCGCTGAATAGTTCTCAAAAAAAGAAAAAAAAAGAAAAAAAAAGAAGTATCCCTTTCAATTAATAAAAAATTCGACGTAACTCAACGAAGAAAAGAGAAGAAAATTAAAGGAAAAAACATCAGTCGTGTCATTAAAGTGAATATATATCTTTCATATGAAATTAAAAATGTTGTATCACGTTGCAATTTGCCATAGCTTATATAAAAATACTTTTCATTAGAGTAGAAACATTAACGATCAATTAAATAAAACGATCTCAATTGCAATTACCGAAGTGAATTATATTATTATGAAAAAACGAGAGGAGTTATAGATAATGAAGCCAGTTCTAATAACATTTGCTTTTTTTCTTTCTTTCTTCATTTTCCTATTTTCTATTTCTTTTATTCTTTTTTTATTTATTTATTTATTTATGTATTTTCTTTTTTCGTTTATTTTTTTGTTAACTCGTCCGAACACATCTCGTATTGGGGAAAAAAAAAGAAAACAACGTAGAATGAAAAATATTTTATTATCTGCACGACGATTTGATACATATCTGCGATATCTCGTTATATATAAATTAATAAGTTCGAAATATCTATCGATCTATATAACAGATAACTTTTGAGTTGTTATAACGAAGGAAAATAAGATAAAAATTTGCAATTACAATAGGTTCGGAAAAAAAAAAAAAAAATACTTCAATACGATATATAAATAACATATAGAATTAATTCTCATCAAATTATTGATCGTTAATGAACGACTACACAAATGAGAAGATATAAATAATACATTGCAAAGGATTTCTTGTCGAGTGCATTGATCATAAATTACGATAGATTAACAATAACATCGTAGTCTTTGATGAGTCGAAATAAAATTTCTTTGGCAAAGGTTAACTGAGAGAGATCAATCATTGATATCTCGGGATTGGTATCGTGCGAGAAGAAAAAAAAGAAAAAAAAAAAAAAAAAAAAAAAATAAGAAACATTAAACTTTAATCGTCATCTCTAAGAATTTGACTTTTTATTCATAACAATTTCAATTTAACAATAAATATCGATAAAACGAAATACGAATACCTAATAGTCTCTTCCCTATTCATGTTAATTGATTTATAATTAATTGATTAAAAAAAAAAAAAAAAAAAAAAACGAAAGAAAGAAAAGAAAAGCTAAATAGTCGTTTCTAAAAATCAAAGGATTTTTCATCAGGATCACACACACACACACACACATACACAGAGTGTTCTTGTGTAATGCCAAACAAGATAAAAAAAAATAATTTAGTATTCTTGGCAAACACAGAAGAGTTTCAACAAGGAGTATTATAAGTATTAGTTTCGTATAGTGTGTCCATCAACGGGAAGGGAAATCGATCGAAACCATGGAGACCTTGAAATCCCTTTCGGACGTTTTCGAGGGAAAGGTTCGCGTGTCGGAAGGAGATCTTGGCTTGTCCTTCATTCATAGATTCTCTCAGAGGATTGGATAAAGCGGATATTTGAAAACGATTCCACCCATCCAACCAACCCAATCACCCCCTCTAACCGCACCTTCTCCTACCACGTCCCTCTCCCAACCACCATTTCCGCTCTTCTATCGTTTGTGAACTTACTGCTTCGACATATGAGATGGAAAAGAACAGAGAAAAACGTCGATAGGACTATAGTGAAAGGAATATATAAGTAAAATAAAAGAATATAGTGAAAAGATATAAAAGAGTATATTGTACTCGAAGAAGATAGAAAAATTTCAACGATAGAAAATGAAATTTTTCTTAAGACTTAGTCTCGATCGAAATATATTAAACGTTTGACCGACAACATTCCTTTCAGAATGATTTTTTCTCTATTTTCTTTTTTATTTTCTTTCACGATTTCTTTTCTATTCATCAAAGAAACGTACTACTTTAATCGTGAACATAAAATGTAATCATAAGAAACTTATAAAAGGCAACTTTTGCATGATCTCTATGAAGCCTACCTGTACTTCGTTTACAATACGAATTCGACTAAACGTAAGGCAGGAAGATAAATTTAGAGAGAAAGAGAGAGAGAGAGAGAGGGAGAGAGAGAAGATACGTTTTTTCTCGAACAGCAAATGGAATTTAGGTCAAACGACATTCGATGAAGTAGATATAGAACGCAAAGCAAAAATCAAAAGGTATCCATCCAAACGCATATACATACATACATACACACACCCATATATTTTTCTATATGTCCAAGAAAAAAAAAAAAAAAAAATCACGAATATTAACGTGAATCGATAATATATTTTGTCATAGCTTTAAATATCCTATTATTTTTCATTAATATCAAATTGATTTTGTCGATGTGAAAGAAATTGTAAATTTTTTTCTCTTCTCCGTAACCTTTTTCTTTTCCCCTTTTTTCCCCCATTTATAAACTGACTAAATAATATTAATAATGAATCTCTTGAAAATTTTCGAAGTGTGAAGAATGACGTAAGGCAAATATGCTAAATCACTCTAAAGGAGAAATGCATCAATGAAGTTATCAAACATGATGCATAGGTTGCATTACGATTCGAGTTCACCGGCACCTCACCCACGCGTATTTACTTTGAAAAGCATACTGAAGGTATTATATACGTATTGATATATAAGTACGATACATGATATCGCTTACAAATTTTTATTTCTCGTACAATTGGAAAAAAAAAAAAGATTGATGTGGGAGAGATGAAAGAAAGAGGCTTGGGGAAAAAAGAAAAAATAAAAAATCAACTTACCCCAGGACCGCATTATTGAGGTTTTCCAAATGTAAAGATGGCGGTGGTGATCTGATTGTCACTTGATGACTTCCACCGGCAATAAATTGTACCTGCTCGTCGCCATTATATCTCGAGCCACCTCCCCCACTCAAACTGAGATTCTTCAAATCTGCCATAATCCGATGCTTCTAAAATTAGAAAGAAAATTAATAATTAAAATCTATTTTATTCGATTTCACGCAAAGTTATCATATAAAGAATTCTTTTTCTTTCTTTCTTTCTTTCTTAAAAAGTTTATCATTGAATATTTGAAGATGATATCTTCGTCAAGGACAAAGTGAATAATTATTGAAAACACGTCACTCGATTTTTTTTTTTTTTTCTGATATTAGCTATCGAATTACTCTCTATCGTACGATAAATTCAATTAGAAAACATTCTTATCGATTTATTAGGTCAAAGTCTCTATTCTCTTCAATTCTTCATTAAATGATCTTGACATTTAACCATTTGAAATTTTAAATATAAAACTAGAACGTCATTGGAAAATATATATTTTTAATATTTTCGACGATTAACAATAATAATGTTTAATCCAATAATG